ATAAACAATCATTACTCATCGAATATGTTCAGAGAATGGTTCAGATTTCGAAATCAAAATCTGAGTCGTTTTATCATGTTTTTTCCTCTTTGTTGAGTATTTTACACTGGATTAGTTCGAGTAATTTATATTTCCTTGAAGGAAAATCAAGCAATCAAATAATTGTTGCAAAAAAAAATGAGATGTAGTTAGCAAGGACAATGAGAAGCATTTATCAAGTCAATTACAATGGTTATTTTAGCTCAATTTCTGTTTCAATTTTGACCTTTTATTCATTTAACTACTAAGATGTAAAGGAAAAGAGATAGCAAAAGAAATTTTGGTGCATCTTAGATGTTCCCCACTTGGCTTAACAAATTTATTAGAGCTAATCTAAAATGTGTGGTATTATGATGTGATTAATAATGCTTCCTGTTAAAATGTTATAAGATAATATAAGGAAAAACTAAATAATGAGTATGATGATGTTAGAAAAAAAATAACAGCTAGCAATATAAAATATATAAGAAAATTCAGTTACTATTATATTTATCACATGATCTCTAAGTGGTTCCAGAGGCCAAGGCTATACAAGCTTTTTTCTATCTATTTTTTGTGGATCTAGAGATCAGGCCTAGATAAATTAAAAAAAAAAAAAAAGAGATCAGGTCTAACAAGCTTTTAGTCTATCTATTTTCTAATTTGTTTAGAAACATAAAAGGGTAGGGTTTTGAAACAAATCGTATTACCAATCGTATCATCCTATACACGGCTCACATCGAAGTAAACGAGTTCGAGTCGATTTTAGTCGTCGATTTTTAAGCTTGTGAAATTTTGAATTCAACAACTTAGCATGTGTTCCAATTCAAGATAGAACAACACCATACCTTCGGGGGAGAGGGGCTAGTGCAGTTGAAGTCTAGTACGATTCCCGACTGTTATATTTTTTATATTATTTGATGTATAATTATATTACATTATTGTATTTAAAATAAAAGTGTTTTACGTGAATAAAATATTCAAAAATTTAAACATGTACAACAACTGAGCAGAACTATACATAACATAATTATGCTGAGTTCTTGCCCTACTTTTGGACTACCAACCGCAAGTGCCCATGATCCCAAAGATCAGGTAAAAGATGAACGGAGGACTCAATATCTTTACAATAATAAAGCTTATGTAGGTAGTTAATTTGGTGTTAAATTTGTTAGTTTTCAAATTTACCCTCATCTTTATTATCCATTAACCCTCATTTCTATTATCATCTGGCATACAATTTCTGCACAGCCAAAACTACCTCTCTCTAATTCTCACGTTCTCGCTTACCAACCGTCTGTTTACTTCCAATTGTACATATTTCTGTACAATACACTTTTTGTTACACATTACACAAAATAGTTATATTCACTTGCACTAATTTTTTGATTTTTTAATTAATAATATTTTTTTTTTGCAAATTGCACACGCATCGAGTGTGTCTCGATAGCTAGTAGTTAGTAATGGGCTAATATACAAGATCATATGCGTCTGCATATATTATGTGTAAGCAGTTAAGTTTCTTGAGGGTTAAAAGGTAGGGAGTATGGAATTTTTGCCTTTTTTTTTTAATTACGAGTATAATACCAATCCTTTTCTAAGTAGTACCTCAATAGTATGACTAATAAAATAATTATCTCGCATATTTTATACTCAATTTAATACGTACGTTTTAATTGCAAACTCTACAATGAATTTAACGCTTGGTCCTACCAAAAGATCTTGACAAATTCTTCTGAAATTTATTATCCCCGAACCCCACATGTATAATAGAAGCCGTGGTGAATGTGGGGCGTAATCGCAGATGCCGCTCCAAGTCGCATGATAACGCAGTTGAAAACTTTGACATTACCATGATATTGAGCAAATTATGTGGGTAATCACTGAACCTTTTGAAAAGTTGAGTTTTAACTACTTAACTATTAATAGTATATTTTTTTCATTGAATTGTTAAAGGTATAAATTTTGGATCATTCTGTTTGATTTTACTATTAACTCTGAAAAATCTAACTGTTAATAGTATGTCTTGTAAATCGTGTAGACCCTTAGATTTGGCAGAGTGAATGGTGAAATCAGACAGAATGGTCCAAAATCTAAGTACTTGATAGTTTAATGGATAAAAACATACTATTAATAATTTAGTGGCCAAATTTTAACTATTCAAAAAGTTCAATGGGTAACGGAATATTTTGCTCCCATGATATCTTATGCACTGAACAGAAGGAATCCAATATAGGAGCAGAAATAAATTAGTATAAACTGACGTGCCTAAATCCTAACCATCAATGTCAATCCAACTTGCACGGCCGGACTTGATCTTCACCGTCACTTCTCTTTGGCTGCCACACCCTGAGACTAGAGCGAAAAGGCGAATATGCTCTGTGTGGTGTGCAAATTAAGAAAAAAAATTAAATTATTTCTATTAAAATCAATGAAAGTTATCAAAGGTCCTTTTTTTGTCAAAAAAAAGAAGTTATTCTTTTTTGGCAAACACAAAAAAAAAGAAACTATTCGAAGTGGAAGCTATTAAAAGCTATTAAATTTAAGTAGTTATTTTTAGTAAATTTCTACTTTTATAAGGGTAAAATTTTAAAACCAAATCTCCTCTCATGCGTTATACATAGAAAGAAATAGAAGTTACTAGAAGTTGCTAAACTCAAGCAGTTATTTTTAATAAATCTTTAATATGGTGAGGATAAATTTGGTGTTTGGATTGGAGTTTTCTACCAAAAGTTTTTAAGTTTTTCGTGAGTATGTTTTTTTAATCACCTTTTTATCTGATATACATTAAATTGCCATAGTATATTTTTTTACAAAAATTCCAGAAAATAACAATCCAACTGGGAGAAAACCAGGAGATGACATAAAATTTAATATCAAATCCCTTCTGCATGGTTTATAGATAGAAATATATCATTCCTTCCTTCAAAATTGAATGTTTCATTTAAACGAAACTATTTATGTTGAATGTTAGCCTTCAGCTGATTATCCATTCTGCGTGCAAACTTGTGTACAAAAAAAGAAAAGAAAAAAGAGTAGAAAGATAATTTATTTCAGACTTAGAAAGTACATATATAATAGAGTAAATCTTATATACATCGATAGTATATATATTATTAATCGCCATGCTTCTCATAATTGCAATTCTAAATATGGAGTACATTAAAGTCTATTGAGAATGCAAATATGCATAGCCTTGTAAGAATTTCTTTTTCTTTTTCTTGTATAGAAACTTGCAAGAATTTCCCAGTGTAAGCTGGAAAATAAATTTTCTCCAATCTCACATGCTCAACTCTGAAGTTTGTCCCAATTTCTAAGTGAAACATTTTTAGCTAAATACTTTGGTGCGTGTGTAAAGAAATTGAGACAAGTGTCTAATTGTGAAGATCCTCAACAAGCCTTTTTTAAGAATTATTAATCACTAGTCACTACATTATTAATTACACAATTTTCAGTTACAAACAATAAATTTAAGGATAAATGATACTTATACTGGATTGAAGATTTTTTTTTTTTTTTGAAGCTAATAAATATCCTTTAGTTTTGAGTAACAAATCAACTTATTCTATAAATATAGATAATTGTGATTGGAATAATCTGTTGAGTTGTTGTTTGTGTGGCTATAAAAGCATTGTCAAGCATCAAGCCATTGTTTAGCTAATTGTCAAAATTCATATGATTATGATTAACAACAAATCAAAGTCATGATCCATATTGAAACCTCTCTTGCAATTTTCAACTTGAAATAGAAAAGCGGCTTTGTAAAAATATATAAACTAGGACATGAGAAAGTATATAGCTTCACAAAATTTTTGAACTAAAATCATAATGAAAAATAGAAAAAAAAAAACCCCCATACATTGCAATCTTTTGGGTTGATTTTCTTACAGAATAATCTTTTTGAGATCCCTTAAACCTTAAAAAAAAATATTTATGAAATCATACAGTATTATACACTGGAAACATTGCTTTTATTAAATTGTCCATGAAATCTTATAAATTCTACATATAAGATAGTATGGAAAACAAACAGAATAAAATTTCTATGAATATGCAATTCTCAAGAACTATTGAATGCATATTTCAACTCAGTGTATAAATTAATGCCTTTTTTTTTTTGTTCCAAGAATGAGAATTTGTAGTGTTATGGCGATAACGCATTAGCAATAATAGACAGTAGGATTAATTACTTCAAAAAAAAAAAATCATGGATGAGTTTATATTGACCTTCTAAAGAAGTAAGGAATTTCAATTGAGACCCCAAATTAAAGTCAAAAAGTTCGAATTTGACCCTTAAAGAACAAAATTTGTTTATCTTCGCAACTTCTTTTTTCCTAATGGATTTCCATTTTCTGAATTTTTTGTCAAAAGATATACTATAGTGATTTGATATACGAGATAAAAAAAAGTGTTTAAAAAATGTGATCACCAGAAAAACATAAAAAATTTTCTGCAAAAAACTTCAATCCAAAAAAGTAAAATTTTCTAACAACTTTTCAATGTTGGAAGGTCAAATTGAAACCTCTTTCACTTTTAGGGACTCAATCTATTGGAAACTTTGGTCATTGTTGGAGGACCAAAATAAAGCTAACCCCAAACATTTGTTCAAGTGGAACAGAAAAGTTCCAAAATCTGGGGTCCCATTACAGCAAATTTGCCTTTTTCCAATTTATTAGTTTGGCTCCTCAACCACTTTTGGCCAACCAAAACCAAGATCGAAAATTCAACACATGGACAGAAACCGGCATTCAGGGGTAATTTAGTAATCTCACATCAACCCCATTTCCAACCCAAATCAAAATCCCCCCCCACTAACTCTATGATTAGATTAAGATATGGATTAGATACCTCCTAATATACGTTTTCCTCTCGTAAGCTTTAACGTTGTCAAGTCTCATCATCATGACAGAAACACGCACTTTACACTACAATTTTCACACACACACCCACGCACCCCTCGCTGGCTAGGCTTTCTTTCGCCACCATACGTATTCGGCCCCTATATCTACGTTTATTTACGTACAGGTGTACGCACATATGTACGTATAAGTATGTATTCCCATCTATGTCTGTATAAATAATGAGGAGGTAAAAATCTTTGCAAATTGAAGTTTGCTTCTTGGAGCTTTCTCCCCCAAAAAGCAGGTACCAAACCTCCCGACTTCTCCCCGCCCTTTATTTATTCCCTTTTTTTTTATCTCCTTCATTTTCAACAAGAAGTTGTGGTTTTTCTATTGAGAAAATTTGACCTTGCCATATATGGTTAGAATTGTTCTTTAACTAAGAAACTCATCTGACTGGGTCCTGAATTTGAACCTTAAGTTAAGATTAAGGAACTTTGGAGGTATTATTGAAGCTGGGTACTGTAGCATAGTAATTATCTCGATCTGGGGTTTTTGTTTTTTTGTGCTCTTTTGCTATTGGGGTTTCATTTCTGGAGAATCCCAGATCGGAATATTGTTGTTATCATGTATTTATATGCGATCAAAATCTGATCTTGATGCTGTAAGTTGCCATATGGGAAGGTGCTTATTTAGAAGTGAATAAATTTGGAGAATAACTAGAAGATTTGTTTGTTGCCTAGATAGCTCAAATTGGAGACCTTCTTGGTGTTGAGAATCAGGGATTTTAATAGGAGAGGTGTTTTTTGGAGGAAGTATTGATAGGATCTTGTATTTACCAGTTTTGATTTGATTTGCTCAAGGGTTTTGTTATATGATTTGATTTAATTTGAAGACAGGGTATTTTGTGTTCCAGTCGGTGTGTGAATTGATGGGGAGGGGAGGCAAGGTTGGGTTCAAGCAGGGAAGTAGGAGGAGGGTTAGGCGAATAGATGAGGGTTCGGATGAGTCAGATGAGGATTATATAGTGGGTGAGGATGAAGGATTTGATGAGTCGGAAGAAGAGGAGTTTGTCGATGAGGATGAATCAGAAGACAGTTTGGGTGAGTTTGAGGAAGAAGAGGAGGATGAGGAAGAGGAATTTGTACAAAAGAAGTTGAACAAAGTGAAGAAGGTCGGTAGACCCAAAAAGCGTTTCCCTCGGAAAAAACAAAATGGAGCTGTTAAGCCAAAAACTAAGAAACGGGTTTCCTATAGTGAAGAAGATGAGTGTGATGACTCAGATGAATATGTTGGTGGAAGGAGAAATGAAATTGCAGAGCCAAGAAAGAAAAAAAGAACTTCTTATAGAGAACGAGATGATGACAATTATGATGATTTGAATGAAGAAGATGATGATGACGACGACGATGATGATGAGGAGTTTACGCTTGATGAAATTCATGATGATGTAGATGATGAAGACGTGATGGTGGAGAGAAAGAAAAATAAAAAGTTGGGTAGGCCTCGGATGCCAGAGAAGAGGATTTCCAAAGGTCAGAAAAGAAAGAGGAACACCAAGGTTTCCAAGAAGATGGTTAGAAAGAAACAAAGAGAGAATCATGGGTTGCCAAGGAAATCAAGGCATAATACTGATGGGGAGTTTAGAAAAAGTAAAACTAGAATGGTCGAAAAGAACAAGAAGATAACAGGACGGGGAGGGAGAAGGAGGGTGCTTTTGGAATCTGATTCAGATTTTGTCAATTCTGGTTTATCTGATTATGAGTATACAATCTCGGAGGAAGAGAGAGAACAGGTTAGAGAAGCTAATGAATTCTGCAGAAGTCTGACGACTACTTTGAGGAGTTCTACTCCTGTAAAGAAGTCGAGGGAGGATGAAGAATCTGTTTATCCGCAAAGAAAACGTCTAGTAAGAAAGGGTAAGGAAAAGGAAGAGGATTTGAAAATTGAAACAGGAAAGCAGGTGTGTGGAATTTGTTTGTCTGAAGAAGGGAAGAGGACTGTCAGAGGGACACTGAATTGTTGCAGTCACTACTTCTGTTTTGCTTGCATTATTGAATGGTCTAAGGTGGAATCCCGTTGCCCCCTCTGTAAGCAAAGGTTTGCGACAATAAGCAAACCTGCAAGGTCGGACACTGGATTTGAATTGAGGACTATGATTATTCAGATTCCTGAGCGTGACCAGGTATTATACAGCCATTCATTTAAATCTCCTTGGAGTAAAATTAGATAATTTGATATTTCAATTGAAGTGTGCAGCTTGTATTGTTCTTCTAGTGAATGTCCTTTTTTGGTGTACAGGTTTATCAACCATCTGAGGAAGAGCTTCGGGGCTATCTGGATCCATATGAAAATGTAATATGTACTGAATGCAACCATGGGGGAGATGACGCTCTCATGCTTCTCTGTGATCTATGTGATTCACCTGCTCACACCTATTGTGTTGGGCTTGGACGTGAAGTTCCTGAAGGTAACTGGTATTGTGAAGGCTGCAGACCAACTGCTCTTGATTCCTTGAATCCCCAAGGTCTGAATCCTACACCCAATCATAGAACAAGTAACAGCTTGGCAGGTGTATCATCCCCCATTACCACTGTAAGGGAGACTTTCGATCTCAATGAAGCATATGTTCCTGACACACCATTGACTCAGGTAGCTGGACAGCCATCTCCTAGGCTATTTGGAGCAGACTTTCAAGCAACTTCACCTGCTTCTGGATCTGGGGCTTTTACGTTATATGAAAGACGCAGAATACAGCGTCAGATACACCAAATATTTTCCAACAGAAGACAACAGGACACAGGAATTAATGGTATACGGCCTACAGTCTCCGGGAATGGCCTTTTTGGCTCTCAAGTTGGTCGGATTCGGGAATTAGCACCTCAACATGCAGTAGTGCCAGATGAGAGGATAGCATCTCATATACCTTTTCAGGGAAGAGTCCAGAACACTGCTACACACCTTGTGCAAAATAGTGATGCTTTTCCTCCTATACCGACTCATTTGAGAGCACCAGTGACTCCATCTCAAGCTTCAACATCTGGTGATGGTTCTTTTGGTGGATCCTTACAGAAGGGTTTTCCTGGGTTCAGTACCAGGAACAGTTTAGGATCTGGTCATCAACAAATACATCCCTGCAGTGGTAGATCCAATATTGGGTCTGATGCAAATCTGTCTCCTCATCAATGTAGAGAGGTGAGCCCACGTAATGTTGGAAAGGAACAAGTGCAATCAATGGTTAAAAGTCATTTAAAAAGCTTATCTCAAGAATTGGAGTTAGGTATGTTTAGTTTGAAATCATCCGCTTTTAACTGCATATGGCAGAAGTGCGCTTTAAAATTCTAAATAGTATGCAATAGACTAGAAGGGTTCTTCATGTTCTAATATAACATTTATTACTGAGCTCTTCAGTTAAATGATAGATGCATTTTGCCTATCTTGAGTCTTGAGTTACAACAACTAACACTTATCATTTTTACAAACATGCGTTCTAAAAACTAACTGGCCATCTTGGCATACTCATGTTAGAAGTATCCTCTTTGTTTTCCTGATTCTTGTCCTCCATCAGAACATTTAGGTGCCTTCTTTCCAATAGAAAAGTTTAATATGCAGCAACACTTGCTTACATTGAAAAATGCCCTTCTCCTGTGAATTTTAATCATATTGTTTTTTCTAGTCCTGAAGTGGTCGAGCATAAGACAATTTTCTAGTGCCTATAAATGCGTCTTCCAATCATTTAATGGTTTAAAGAAGTTTTGTTCCTCTATTCCCGTTTCCCTTCCTTGATCTCTTTCTTCAAGTTTAAGATAACGGCAAAGCTGAAAAATGTTATCATACGTTGCTGCAGACTACAGTACCTTCAAGGATGTTGCAAGGAGCTCTACACACACCATTTTAGCTGCATGTGGGCTTGAGCACCGCTTGAATGAAGTCTACCCTATGCAAGCACTCTTAATAATCTGCTCACATGCAGAGCAAAAGGCAGGTGGACAATCAAGTCCTTCTAAAGATCACTGCTCATCTTGTTTTGATTTGCTTGTGAGGAATGTGGTGAGAGAGATAATGAACACCAGAGTTGCACTCTCCTCCAAGGGCTCGATTCAGTTAGGTTGATATTGCTTGGCTTACCATTCTTTCTGTCCATCCATTGACCCCATTGGGCAACTCGTTTTTATAGATTTTTTCTACTTAGGCTGTTGATAATGGAAAGAATTATAGAAGAATGGGTCGTCTCCTTGTCAATCATTGACTTTTGGGGGGTAATAATTAGTCATTTGTTGTCTATACAGGAGACATTTTTTAGTCGCCATTTCTTGAGAAATTGCGAGCTTTCCCACTGTCAATTTAAAGATTTGTGTTCTTTGACAAACTTGAAGATTTTGTGACTCTGTGGGACAGTCTATTTCCACTGTCTTTCATGTAAAATTGTTGAATTTTTCTTAAGCATCCCTTAACCCTTCATTTCTTTATTATTGTAGATAGCAGCAAATTATTTCAATTATTAACTTCTTTCTTCCAGAAAGTTAGCAGCCTGTATCGACAATGGATGGAGTAGCCTCAAGTCTCAATTCGCCATGTTGTTTATAGCATGAGAGTTGACATTATGATTGTGCAGTTTAAATTTAATGATGCACAATAAAAAAATTTCCAAAAAGGTGTGCATGACTCATAAAAGGTGTGCATGGCTCCTAATAAGCCTCAAACTCGATATAGACTGGATCACTGAACTGAAGCTCATTGGTTCACTAAAACAGTTTGTCACGAGATTTGGGGCATCCACAATTTACACTCTTCAGAGTGTAATTCACATGCCACGTCAGCATTTCACTTTCTCCTCTTTTAGCACACTTCAACTCATAATGGATTACACTCCACAAGGTGTAATAGCATAGGTGCACAATTAAATCAAATATTTATTTTAATAATGCATAACTCATATCCCATAAATAAATAAAGTAATTTTTAAAAATAATTTTGTTATTTTTAAAAAATACAGTATTAACTTTCATTAAATTTTTTACCTTTTGAATTTTTTATTTTCTAAAAATGATATTATTAATTTTTAAGTTTGAACAATATATCTTTTTCTATCTCTCAAAAATAATATATTGTTATTTTTTGAAAAATAATTATGCAGAAAATTAAACAAATATTTGATACCTCCAATGCGAAGATATCATAATAATCCATACTTAATTAATAATTCGGAATGTAATTAGTTGAACTCCATAACATAATATTACATGATTTAAATCAAATAAAATACGAATAATAACAAATAATTAACGTTGCAAATTTACCGTTGCAAAAAATGAACCTGATCGAAGTTACTGGCCAAAAGTTTGTCCGACTCTTAAATTTTGTAATGGGAGCCACACATTACACGCATCATGGGTATTACACGGCCACAATGGGGTGACCATGTAATAACCCATTACAATGTCAGACATTACACCACCGTTGGAGATGCTCTTAGTAGTCTGTGAAAATGGTTAGGAGGTGTGCAACTGTGCACGATATTGTACTACTGGCACAAAATTACCAATTATTGAGGCCCCATGTCTTTTCTTGTGAATGAAATCCCTTTTAAGCAAACCTGCCTTTTTTTTTTAACCCCTGAAAACCCTTTTTTTGTATTTTATTTTATTTTAAGGGCGTTTGTTTCTGTTGATTGAATTTGTCGAAAGGTTGTCAGTTGCAAACATCAAACCTCAGTTAATGACTGATGCAAGTGTTCATTGATGGAAGGGGTTGTGAAATCCTTTTAAGAGCGTTGTTTATCTTAATTGAACTTGTCTATGGTTGTCAGTGGCAAACATCAAACCTTTCAGATCAGATGGTAGCTAATGCAAGTGTTCATTCAGTCAAGGGGCTGTCCGGTGATTGCCTGCGGCAACTGTCAACAGCAATTGATGGCTCCAATTAAGCCAAGTTTGATGTTCCCCAATCTTGTCTAGGCCGTGCGAACTCTTCATATATATATATATGCGTGTGTGTGTGTGTGTGCTTGTGTGTACATATATATGTATCTATGTGTGTGTAAATAGATGGCCTACATGAGTCGTGAACAGCCTGCCTGTTGACGCCCCAATCCAAAAGATCAGTCATCATGTTGTTTATGTTATGATATGAAACAGAAATGTTCGATGGAGAAGATATCACATCTCCAGAACAAGAAATGTAATGGTACGAATCAAATGACACTAGTATGGATGGATGGCCATAAAGCTCATTTCTGTAACATACCAGTTTTACAATACAGTATCATCCGACTTAGTAATACCAGCATGAAGGTTTTCCATCAGTAGACGACCTTCTATGCCTGATTGGCAGTCAAATAAAAGATCACCTCCATGAAAATGAGAGGAGCAAAGAAGAAATCAAAACACAGATCAGAAACTCATACAGGCACTACCGGTAAGTTTATTCATCTTCTTTATCAAAGTATAAACTGCACTTGAAGAAAGATGATACATGAGTTCCTTTCTTTTCCTGCCTACATAACTAAATTCTACAGGCAACATAAATTACATTTATTACTACAGATTATTTCAATCTTAGCTTATCCATACACTGGCATAAGCGCTAGAGACAAACCACTGATCAAGCGGTTTCTCCGGTAAACTTATCTCTGTGACCGAAGCATCCCCCCACTGGAACTTCATAAGTTATCATCAAGAATTGTAGACAAGAGTAGTCCTTGGACAAACTGAGACCTCTTCGTCTTCTCCTCTTGATCTTTAATAGACAAGGGAGGTTGTTGGACTTTTCTGCAAACAGAGCATCCAATACAGATTCTGAGATGGCTTGTTATACAATGTTCAACTAAGAATAGTAAAGCAAGCTACTCAAATCAATTCACAGTAACCCTTCTTTCAAGTTCTTAAAGAGTTAACGACCGTATTATGTGACACCAAATAGTATAATAGCTAGATAAATAAACGGAAACAAATGAAAGGATGAAACACCTCTTTCATGCTCGCACTGAACAGACTGAAATTTCTTCTTGCAGCATTATGAGGTGCAGAGAAGAGAGCTTACACTAAAACTTGAAGCTACTATAACACTCAACACATTCTCTTTATCAGATTGTTTTGATAAAAAATGCATAATTTTAAAACTGTCACTCGCAGAAATAGGCAATTTTTTCACTTATGGAAGAAAAGATTTGGAAACAAAAATCTAACGTTTGTTCATTGAGGAGTTATAAGATGGAGATAAGCCAAAGCATGGGGAGATCCTTAAAACTCACATTCACAGGCAGAAAGCAAAAAATACACTGACCTAGGCGGGGAATAGAATTCACTCTTTAAAGACTCCGCTGGTAAACTATTTAAGTTGTATCAGAAATGTTAACTTTCTAACAGGTGAATAGTGGATCTTCTTTTTTTGTTGGTTTTTTTTTTTGTGGTGGGGGGGGGGTTGTGGGTGGGTGGGGACAAGCCCCTCCCAGCCCTGCTCTGGGTCTAAACGCCCAGCTTTCTTACTGGTTTTTTCTGTACACTTCAACGACAAGAAAGTAGATTTAGCACTAAAACTATTTGCAGTGCCACTTTTCCCATCAAACAAACATCAGGAATTACCTATTTCTGTGTGATGATGAATAATAAGCCTGAAAAAACCCCACATTGTAATACATGTTTACCTCTTTTCTCCTCATACCAAAAGAAAATAACAATATAATGTTTAATTCTCTCCTAACTAAAGTGTGATCTATTTTTCTTTTCTTTCGCAATCCCCAACCCGGGTGTGCAAAGAAGGAGAAAGAAATACGTCACTCAAGGCCCTGCAAATCTCTTATATATCATACAACTAGTACAACACAGAATAGGCTCAGCATTTGAACGAAAGATTATCAACCAAGGGGTGAATTTAGTTGTCCTTTAAGACTGCTACTAAAAGGAAAAAGCATATGTTTGTGGTCCTTGAGATAACCCAGTATTTGAGGTATCTAGGACCAGATTGCCCAAATAGTTTCTTTTCGCATTCATCTTTTACAACAAGGCTATTCACAGTCTTCCAGTAAAGATAATGGCACTTCAGACATTATATGATAAGATTGCACAAGCATTCCTTCTCTCAGTTCAGGTGACTACCTAAGCAAACCCCCCTTAGACCAGAATTATGTGATCTAGACACAAACTACTGAGTTTAAATTCAAAAACACTGTAAACCAGTTCTAACATGTCCTGTTTGTCATAACTAAGTTCCTACTCTCCAATTGCGTCTGTTTACAATCTATACTGCATGATTCTTGGTTTTAGCTCTTGGTGCTCAATCAATATTTATCAGAACAACGGTAAAAAAAAAGCAGTTGAAACTGTTGTAACTTACAAAGTAATGAGCTTAGCCACCATGGCTTCAAGCTTGTTTCAAAATCAAATGCATGATACAAGGATGGTTGAATTAAACAGAAAATGATAGGATGAAAGTTTTCCGAATCTGTTTGGAAAGGAATACGAGCAAACTGAAGCACTGATAAATCAGTGAATGGAGAATGGGTAAGAGAGAGGCAGGAAAAAAATGCCAAGTATTCATATCCTAGCAACAATAAGTTGCGATATGAATATCCAACTCTAAATGCTGCCGGCCTCCAAACACCGACAAGATTGCAGCAGCTGAGGAATTTACCTATTTCTGTATGTTGATGGAACTAATTGAACCCAAGTTTCAGAGGTCTTGAGCAGCGGGATAATTTGCTCTAATTCATTCCTCCAGTGCAGTGTAAAAAAAATTTCCTCTAATTCAATCTAAAGTAGAATTTGCTGTTTGACGTATGCCCACCTACTTCTTTAGGTTTCTGCCCAACTGTTACTGTATGTGCAATACACACCTACTGCTGATTTTAAAACCGATCAACTATGTAGAAAAGCCAAAGGGCCAACAAACAGTTCTAGATCTTGTTTGCGATCTCAAATGAAGTAATGTCTGCTAAAAATTTCATGCCCAGAAAAGATGTCATTTCTGGTTATAATAAAAACAGCTAATAACTAATTTTTCTTGTTACTGACAAGATTTGTAGTTGCAACTAACATCAACTCTTCTGAGTTCCCAAAATTCAGTCTCGCAACCTTGGGATAAAGACTTCAACCATGCATTCCCACTCAATGGAAACAAGCAAAACACAAAAGGGGGCCCAAAAAAAAAAAAACAAACCCACAAGGAAATTGGAAGGAGATGCAATTCTTTCAGAAACAAATAACTAAATTGCAAACAAATCAAAAAACAGCTTAAAGAGGTGATACTGCAAAAAAAGGAAGCCTTCTGATAGAAAAATGTACACTAAGACTATTTAAAATGAATGAACACACTAGCCAGACAGACATGATAAACGAAAAAAGAAAACACTAGCCCTATTAAAAATACCCTCCCAACGAAAACCCCTTATTAAAGGAATTTTTCGAGCTGAGAGTTGAAGAAGATAATAAATAAAAAACATTGAGTTATGTCCAGGTCTGGCATA